GAAAATTAGAAGGAAGGTCCAGGCCCAAGGCAAACAGATAGATGAGAACCTAGAACAGATCAGAAGTGAGTTTGCCTTGGGTCTAACCAGACGAGCTGTTCCTAGGGAGATGCTAAAGGACTATTACAGCAGCTGCTGAAGCTCCTTTTGCTTCAGGGGCTCCTGACTTCTCTCCCTGAACAATGAAGATTGCTCCATCCTGGTCCACTTTGAGTAAAAGAAAAGTCACCTCAGGAAAATTGAGACAACTTTGGCCATCTGGCAAGTCCCCTGGTGTGCACATCAAGACCTTTGACTCCACACACCTGGTACCTCTTTCTGGGGACATCTGTAGCAACACTGGTATAGGAGTCATGGATAATTGGGACATGAGAACCTAGGGACACAGACTCACTTCTGATCTGTTCTAGGTTCTCATCTGTCTGTTGGCCTTGGGCCTGGACCTTCCTTCTAACTCTCCTGCAGTTGGCTCTCAACAAGTTTGCCAGCACCCTGAATCCTCAGCATGGAAATGGAGTTCCTTGGAAAGCCAGGCCTGCCCAAGAAAGCTCTCAGGTTCCGTCTGTATTGCCAAAATTGTTGCCAAAAGCTCGGTCCTTGTCATCCAATCCAATTACAAAGACATATCTTCGAGTAAAAGGACAAAGAAAGTTTATTGCTTTGCTAGCAAAGTAGAAACACAGGGGAATCCTGTGTCAAAGGCTATGATTCTACCCAATAGAAGGAAAAGGGGGACTTTTATAGAGGTTACTCAAAAGCTGCATTCTGCATGTTCTCTGTTGGAGTTGTAATTCACTTGATAATTTGTGAGCTAATCACTTCTGAGAACTTCTGGTACCATTCCCATAATCTAGATTACTTCTTTCCTATGGTGAGTGTGTGCTCAGGGACAGACAATGCTGTGTAGGTTGGAGAAGAAAGGTAATTCTGTTTTCCCCTGAGATTAGGGAAGAAATTAGGGAGGAACAGGAAGAGAGGAAGAAAAAAAAAACATGTCCATTTAAAAACTAAGTTGCACTGGCAGAGCAGCAAGGTCTGCAATCAAAGCACAAAGTGGACACTGTTACAACGAGACACCTTCCCATTACCAATGTATGGAATTGTTGCCATTGTCATTCCCAGAAGCAGTCCCAGCCCTTCCTGAGTCTCCTGAGCAGAACCCTCCCCAGGACTCTCCAAACTCACAAGAGAGTTACAATAGTTCCCACTTATGAAAAACTTGTATTACAGAATGTCCAATTTTTTTTTCAAATAGGTCAGTTATGTGATGGGCTGAATATTGTCCTGAAATAAGTACACATTTTAATCCCCAGTTTCATGAATATATCTTCCAAAGAACTGTTGAAGTTGTGACTAAGGATCTTGTGGTGGGGAAATCATGCCAACTTAGCTGGTGGCCCCATGTAATCACAAGGGCCTCATAAGAGGAAGAAGGGCGTTGGCACCAGCAGGAAGGGGCACATGGTGACAGAGGCAGAGAGCCAACGGGTGAACTTGGAAGGTGTCAGAGAAGTACAGCAGTACAGGAGTGCAGGGGGCCACCAGAGCTGAGAAGACACAGAAACCAAGCATCACCTCACTCCCAGAGGGAATCTGCCCTGCATTGCCTGGGTTGCAGACAGACTTACCTCAAAAACCATAAGGAATGAGTTGGTGTTGCTTTAGATCACCAATTTTTTAGTAGTTTGCTAGAAGAGCCATAAAAAATTGATACAGCTTATTAAAAAATTAAGAAAGATGTTCCCAAATTTAAAATTTATACTAATAATGAGACAAAGCAAAAGACAGGTATTCAGCATAGATAGTAAATGATCGGGTGTGAAAGATGGGGGATAACTGGCTAATTATCAAAGAAAAGGAAGTAGATAGCTCACACCTCAGGGAAGCAATCCTCCAAGCACAGGAGTTGGGAATGCATACCCTGGGCTGCTCTTCTCCTGCCCTTAGGCCCTAGGCAGGTGGAGAGGGAGAGGAAACTGGGATCTATAGAGAGGCAACACACTCACTCCTGCAGATACCCAGCTCTGGGTCCTCTTCTCTTCAGAGAAGCCTACCTCATTTCTGTATCTCTCTTGAATAAAACTTGCCATTTACTGTTATCTCTACTGTCTCAGGTGTTTTAATCTTCCACTCCAGGGAAATGAGGACCAATACTTATATCTAGGACCAGGATCAGTAAGTCGGTAGCTTGATTATTTCACTTACAGACAGACTGGATTCAAATCTCACTGCAGGGCCTATTGTAAGGACAGCTTAGCTCATCTTTTGGTGCCCTTCTTTCTGTATCTGTGTTCTTTTTTGTTAGTTGTTTGTTTGCAGTGCTGGATGGAACTCAGGGCCTCCCATATGCTGAGCAAGTGGTCCAAGACTCAGCCACAGCCCCAGTCTGTGCCTCTTTCTTCATCTGTGAGATGGGGATGACCATAATACATACATTGTATTTTGTGAGAATGAGTCAACCCATCTGTAGTGAGTAGTATGGTGGCTGGGGTGTAGTAAGCCCTCCACACGTGTTATGCCTTTTTATCATTTTTTTTGAAATCCAATCCCTTCTCATGGGGAACAGAAGGAATTAATTCTTGTTCATCAATTACCAGCTCCAACAAGAACCCATACATCCTTTCCCAGATCAATTCTGTCCATTAACAATCCTAGTGCCAACTTGGGCATCTTCTCTCCTATTGAGACTCAGCCCTCCTCTGGGGCCCAGAGTCTACCCCACACAGCTACAGGTACAGGAAACGAGGGTGAGCATGTACCAAAGGGCTCCACAGAGCAGGCTGGAGGGGTGCTGCCCTCACCCATGGAGAATGGCAGAGAGGGCTGTTGGCTGGGCATGGTTTCTGCCCAGGAGGAAAAGAAAAGCTACTAACAGGAGACCCAGGAAAGCCCGACCTGGGCAAGGACATCCTTGGTTCTACAAACCCCCAAGAAAGAAACACCTGCTGGGACACTCTGCTGTCACTTCAGGAGGGAGGCTGCACCCTGTGGGAGAGGGAGCTAGAGAACCAAGGTGTCCCTTTGAGCAGAATGCAGGGGCACTTTGTGGTGGAGTCAGTACCAGGAGGTTTCTGTAAAGATTCTACCTCTCCTGGATCCCCCACCTCCTCACAGGCACCATCTGAGGTATGCAGTGGCCATCATAGGTTCAAACCTGCCTTGTGAGGACACACCTGTCTTGAGTGCTGATGATGCATCTTCATCCTTTAAAGCAGCCTTCAGAGACCACCTATGCCTGTGTCAATCTTTGGAAGCAGAAGTGTCCAGAGAACATGGCAAGGATTCCACACAAGTGGATCTGAGGTAGGGAGATTCAGCTGTATCTGAGACTTTACAAACTGCTGCACCCTGAATCATTCATTCAAAGCATTTTCATTAGCAGAGGGAAATTGAGGATTGGGGAGCTGGGGCTGAGGATATCATAAAAGAGGTGTGTTCCTAGCTGTGTGGCCAAGAACATGCATTGAGACCATGGAGGGACCATAGAGATTCTTAGAGATCTCATCTCAGACTTCCTCTGAAATGTATACTTGGGTGAAGAAAGAGTCCCTGAGACAATGAACAAAAGTTTTTGTTTCTATTTTGTTTTTGTTTTTTTTAACTTGAGGTACAAACAAGTAATCCCATATATGTGTATGTGTGTGTGTGTAAGCATCAGCTTTTTAATTCTGTCCTTTTGGGAGATTGGAGAAGCCACAACCCAAGGAAGCTCACATTTGGTGGTTGTCAGATGATAGGCTTGCCAGCCCCTGAGTCATCAAAGGAAGACTTTGAGCAGGAGGAGACTAGTCAGAGTGGACGAGATGATGGGTGTCAGCTGGGAGCTCTCACTGATGGGGTTTACACAGTCGGTCCAAATGTTTGTAGGAGTTTGTATTACATTTATGTCTTTCAAGTTGCAAGCACTTTCAGTTGCACAACCCATAGCAGACATCGTTAAAGAAGAAAAACCATTAAACACTCCTGTGGGAGAAAAATTGGCAATGAGACTCTTTCTCACCCTGTCTCCCCTCCTTCCCACTGTACTCAGGTTAATCTGTCTGCTTCTTTTGCAAAGCAAAAAGGTGCTCAGAATGGCCCTTGACCCCTGACCTATGTCTTCTGCATGAAGAAGAGTCCCATCTAGGGACCAAGCTAGTTTCCCTAGGTCCCTCTGTCTCCCCAGGACTGGAGGTACCTTAAAGGGACCCTGCTAGCTGGGCACAGTGGCTCATGCCTGTAATCCCAGAGGCTCCGAAGGCTGAGGCACAAGGATGACTCAGCAAAAGTGAGGCACTAAGCAACTCAGTAAGACCCTATCTCTAAATAAAATATAAAAACCGTGCTGGCTATGCGGCTCAGTGGTGGAGGTCAATCCCAGGTACCTCCCAGAAAGGGATGTCCGGTGGGGGTTAAGGGGCTGCTGTCTAAGAAGTGAATTGAGACTTGAGCCTCTATGGCCTCCCGAGGAGAGATGTGGTTGATAAAGGCAGAGAAGGAGGTGGAGGTCAGATCTCAAGGGTTTGGCTGAACACAACTGGGATCCCTGTCCTCTTCTGCACCTTCACATCCTTAGGGAACCCAGAGGGAAATACTGTAGATAAGGTCCCCTCTGCCCAGGGTTGACACATACTACAGAAACCTGGAGCAGAAAGGCTGCCCCACTGCAGAGAGCCCACCTCTCCTCTGTATCCCAGGTGACACCCATTTCCCTCATTCAGGTCAGCTCAGCTAGACAGAGGGCCCTCCCTGCTAGTCTCAGACCCTCCTCCAAATTACTCAAAAAGAAAAAGAAAATAAAAAACCATGACAAACCTTCATTCTCAACAAACTCTCAGCTCCAACATTATTTAGTTCCTCAAATGCCACTAATTCCAGGGAACCCTTTACATGTTGATCAGAAAAGACTTGACAGTGCCCCATCTAGCTGTCCAGCCCAGAAAGGACACCCCATGGTGGCTTCTCCTGCTCCCATCTGAGGGGCTCCTGCACCCTCACCACAAACACAAGCTTTCTCCTGCTCAGGAAAACTCGAAAACCTTCACTGGAGTCAGAATGACACCATGCAGAACGTCAGTGCTTGGCCCCGAGGGTTTGCTCTTAGAGGTATTGGTGTTGAGGGTGACAGAGAGGACTGTGGGTGTCCACCCTTCATGTCACTGAGACACAGTCCCTTTCCAGGACAACATGACAGCCCGTGTGTCCCCAGTCCTCTCCTCTGTTCTCCTCGGAGCTGCTCAATTGTCTCCTGCCCCATGGCTCTCTGCAATCTTAGGAGGGATACCCAGGCCCTTGGCCCTCTACCACCTCTTGCTTGTGGGCGTCAGGCACTGTCATGCAGCTGCAGGTCCCACCCCTACTGTCGGTGCCTCCATGCCTTCCTCCCCCGGTGCACCAGGGTGGCTCTATGTGACTAGGAGGATAGGAGAAATGAAGCAGTGTCTCTTCTCAGATGAGCTGTGAAGAGCCTCAGCTCCCCCACCCACTTCTCATCCCAGCTCTGGGGGAAGCCAGCTGGCAGGTCATGACCCCCAGGAGACCTAGGAAGAGGCCCAAGAAGAGGAATGGAGGCTGCATGGGCTTGGAAGCAGATCCTGCTCTGAGTAACCTCAGCCCCTGCTGCCGACTGGACCATAGCTCAGGAGACAGCCTGAGCCACAACAACCTCTATTCCCCTCTCAGACCTGCCATCTGCAGATCACGGGGGACAGATGTCCTCTTAAGCTGTTAAGTTTGGGTTTAATTAGGTACACAACAATAGATGGCTGATACCTTGTGCTGATTAAGAGGATGACCCAAAATGCTTGGGAAATCTCCATACCTTTGCCTGTAACCTTGACACACTTTGTCTCTGCCCCTGTGCACTTGAGGGGCTGTGGGGTACAGATCGTGCCATTGTCAGAGAAGCAGGCAGGACATACAATGCCATTTTCTTTCTTGGACACTGGAGACACTGAATAAAGAGAGAACATTTTCATGATGAGCAATGGGCAAAAAGAAGAGCTGAGAGAATTACAACCCCCCAGGATTCGTGGATATTCCAAAATCCCTCAAACCATTCACAACTAGATTGGCATAGGAGGGGTTAGGGACAGGATTCATGATCAGGTAGGAAATAGTAATCAGAGAGAGCTTCTGGAATTTAGTGTTATCTTCCCCCTTCATCAAGGACTTTTCTCTCCTTGGCTGGAGAACAATCCTAGATAATGGGGCAGAAGGTAATCGGAGGCCTGAAATGATGCTGCTCACACAGTGGAGGACAGGCAGGTGTGGCCTGGGACCCACAGTCCTAGCCATCCCCACCCTAGAGGCTGAGGTTGCAGGGTTGCTCAAGCCCGGGAGTTGGAGGCCAGTGTGAGAATATAGTGAGAGTCCATCTCAGCAAAGCAGAACAAGAGAGGTGAGGAGTGAGATAGGTAAGGAGAATCTCTCTGCTGGGATGCTGACCCAAAGCACAAATAGAGAAAATGCTCAGGCCTGTCCCACCACTCAGCTGCCTGTCTCCCATGCAGAAGGGACTTAGGTCCAACCTGCCCCTTCACAAGAAAAGAAGAAAACACTCTGGGCCTCTCAGAAGTGGAGGTGGGTGGTGGGTGACTTCAGAGGCAGAGGAAATCCAGGGGCTGGGAGAGCAGCAGGCACTCACGTTGGATGTCTGCTTTGTTACACTGCTCGCTCTTGCAGCACTGGTTCTCATACACAAATGTCCATCCAGCCCTCATGGTGGCAGAGAAGGACAGGGGAGTGCACGTACGTGAAGAACAGCCTTTATCCTGTGTAATTATTGGTGAAATACCTGTGCAGAACCGAACCAAAGAGAATGTTCCCTCTGAGCCCTAGAGAGGGGGGTGTCCAGACGGGCAGCCAGTATCAAGGAATTCTGCAAGGGCACCCCTCTGTCCTTAGTGTTTCCACTTTCCCAAGAGTCCTCCCCAGTGGTCCTCTTCATAGAACAAACCCATGGAGGAACCATTTGATGATGCTGCTCGAGTGCTTGCCTGGCATGTGTGGGACCCTGGGTTTGAATCCAAAATCACAAAAAAGTAGGAAGTGTCCTTTCTCACTGATCCCCCACCCCTGAGACAGATGTGGGGATGGGAGTCACCTAGCACCTCCCCCTGAGACCCTTCACTTGGCATGGTGCCCACCCCTGCCACCTCCCCCACCCATATCCAGCCTCATTCTAAGAGGACCTTAGGTGAGGGAGCCAGGGTAGAGTAGAGGAGTAGAGGGGAAGGAGGGGCTACACTGAATCCTGAGCTGAGCACGCCTCCCTCCCAGGTCCTGTGTGCACCCACATGGGCCTGAGGCAGGCAGGGCTCACCTGGTTGGCTAAACTGTTGCTTATTATTGAAGCAGCCCTGAGAGGCCTCACAGGTCTCCGGTTTAGACTGACATGCGTTCCCAGTGCATTCCGTACACGTGTAACTCTCTACAAGAGGGAAATAACACCAAGGGAGGCTGATCCAGTTATGTTGTGTACACTGGCAACTCTGCCACAGTGAATTCCTCCTTATTCATAACCACATTGCAGAAATTTAAAGATAGATTAATGGGAGGAAGACCAAAGTGTAGAGGAAGCAGGGAGGAGGGGAGGAAATGGAGCACTGGGCAAGGAAACACAAACAACTTTCCATCATGCATGAAAAGAGCCCCACAGTTATGCAAAACTGCAGGGCATTGGATATGGCCATGCATGTTGATTGAAGCAACACTTTAAAGTCGTCCAGGAGGGAAAAATGGCAAGGGTTGGAGTTGCTCTTTCTAGTAGACAGACACTTCTAGGGATGGAGGGGACAGGACATCCCTCTCCCTGTGGGCTAGTTGGGTTCCTCAGGCTCCCTCCCTGAGGGCTTATTGCCCACCTTCCCACCCTTGGGAGAGGGTTGCTTCTGGTCCTTACCCACGGTGCTGAAAACAAGGGCCACAAAGATGCAGAGAGTGGGGAGACTCCTCAGGGTGGAGGCCTGGACACTGGTCACCATGCTGACTCCAGGACACTGCAGAGGCCAAAGGGAGCAAAAGGGTCAGAGGGACAGTGCTCTGGCCTAGAGTCCAGCCCTCCAAACGCCAGACAGCTCCAGGTGTGGGTCCTGTCAGAGAAGCAGGAAGGAAAGTGGCTATTTCCATCACCAAGGCACCCAGGGAAGACAGCCACCCTTCCTCAGAAGGACTCTCCTGTAGTGGGTGGAAGGTGCTGGGGCTCCCTCCAAAGCTGAAGTGGGTGACGGGGCCAAGAGGGGGAACCCCCCATCCAGGGAGCAGGCGGGGGTCTCTCCTGGGCTGAGAAGTCCAGGCTGTGTTTCCCCATAGCCCTCAGCTGAGGACATGGATTTCTCAGTCCCAAAGTCACCCTTTAAAAGAGTAGAGCCCCACCACACAGGTGTCACCAGGCACACTCGATCTGCTCACCGCAAGGGATAGAGTGGCCAGTTCCTCTGGGTGGAGAAGAAGGTGAGCACTCTCTGCCAGGCAGAAGTGGATGTCACAGTGAGCAAAGAGGGCGGGCTCTCTCCCTGCACTGACTTTTCCTCGGCTTTTATAGAAGCTGTGGTCAAAGGGACCAGCAATCAAAATATCATAAACACACATAACCATGGCACAGAGCCTACTGCACACAATGGCATACCTTTTGCAAAGATGCTGTGTAAATAGCTGTTTCCTGGCCCTCAGCTTGGCAAAATAGGGCATCTGGTGATCCAACCAAGCAAGGTCTAAGTCTGGCTCCCTAAATCCTATGGGCACTTAGATATGCCATGTGTGGGTGAACACCCACAGTGGTGCATCTTCAAGTACCCTACTGCAGATTCTAGACTCTATCTTCCTAACTCCCTTCCTCCCCACAGCCACTCTAAGACACGCTGGCCTCTCTCTAGAAGAGAGACTGTGGGCATCTTCCTGTACAGTCCCCTCCTCCTTCTGCCTCTGTTGAGGGCCATCTATGGTTGGGACAGAAGCTCCATGTCAGGCTGTGTGTTTGCAATGGGAAGGGAGGCTAAATGGAGGAACTCGTATTCCAGCAGCCCTCCCACCTAGCACTGGGCTGTCCATCACCTATTTTGAAATCCAGGACACCGAGGCCCTGTGGATGGCCCTCCTGGAAGCCAACTGAAGTGAGTATTAAAGAAGAATATGAGAGGCACTCAGGCCTGAGGCAAGGAGGTAGAAGGCAAGGACAGGGCCCAGGACCAGCCTAGAGGTCAGCAGGGCTTTCTGGCCCCTGGTTCCTTACACAGATCCTGGATTTCCATCTAAAAGTGTGTCACCAAAGCTGCTTTGGAAGAGCCTGTTAGGATGTTGGAAACCTGGGAGGAATCCAGGCCTCATCACCTTGTGGGGTTCTGGCCCCACCTCCACCTGCCAGCAGCTCTTGCTCCCAGAGATCCAGGTCAAAGGCAAATTCTACATAGTTTATTGTTGTTTATCTCAGCGTATTAATCATCTGGGACCTCCTAGGCCAGCCCAGGTGGCTCTGGCTCAGAAGGCGTGAGGCAGGAGGCCAGATGTAGCTCATGTGACCTTGGTTACTTCAGCTGCCTGCTGGCCTGTAGGCAGAGCAGAGGGAAGGAGCTGACTGTGTCACCCCAGGAGTCCCTGCTGCCACTCTCAAGTCATGTGGAGAAGAGAGCAGACCTGGTGCTAGCCTGGCACTGCCCACATCTGTGCCAACTCATGGCCTCCAGGGCAGGTTCTCAGAAAGCCTCCCTTGGCAACCTGTGATACTGAGGGGAAGCTGCCAGAGGCCTGCCTTGGACACAAGGAGGAGGGGCCAGAATGCTAGGGACAGTCTCCTGTTTGCTGTCTAGGCTTTGTGTCCCTGCACCTTAGCTTCAGATGGCCCCTCCTTCCTATGGTGGGTGTGTGTTCAAGGACAGATACCTCTGACTAGGACAGGGAAGAAAGGTCATTCTGTCCCTCAGGACTGCAGATTACGGAGGGGAGACACGGTGGAGGAGGAGGGAGAGAGAAGGAGAAAGAAACTAGTTTAAGAACTAGTCACAGTGGCAGAGCAGCAGGACTATATTCCTGAGGTGGACACTGTCATGGGACCACATTGCATTGCCCGGCCTCCCTTAGTGAGGCCATCCTTGCCATCTTCAATGTCACTGAATGATCTTTCTTCCTTAAAATCATTCACCGCGGTCTCCACCTCTCAGCAGAGAGGCCGTACCACCTGACCCCCTTCTTGGGTTTGTGTGAGGACCACGGAGTCCACGGAGTCCACACACTCCCTAGGAACAGCTCCCAGCTGCCACACCGGCAATCTCCATGCTTGTTCTCTTTACTCTTCAAGACTGAGCACCTTTCATAGGCAGCATTTGCTTCCTGACAAGGTCCTGGACTGTTCCACGGGTTGGATTCAGATTCCACATCAGACCAGCTGGATGCCAGGTGACAGGCATCTGCTGAGGTCCAGCTGTCCAGAGACGGTGACAACCACTAACTCCAGACCTGCTGAGGCCTAGTCCTCTTACCTGGGGAGCCTCAGGCTGAAGGGAAGGTCTGGACCAGTGAGAACCCCAAGAAGCCCCTTCCTGGGATGGGGTCTGGCTCCTCTTGAGAGATTTGCTCTGATCAGAGGCCTGAGCCATGAGTCCTCACTGGTCTGAGCAGGAAGACGAAAGAAAAGGCTGTGCTTGTGCTGGATGGTGCCCAACCCTGGGACCCCAGGGCTGAGACTGCTGAGGGCTTGGAGATGAAGGGCTCATGCCACACTGCAGCCTGGCTTCCTACGAGGCTGAGCATCCATCCCCAAAGAGTATCCAGCCCAGTGACATGTCCCATTCCTAATGGCCAGTGGGTCCTAAGGTCATGGGCTGAAGGCAGAGGAAGCAGCAGAGAGGGGCCCCACCCAGCCCAGCTGACAGACAGACAGTGGAGGCCTCTGCCATCATCAAGACCTGGGCCCAGCCTCTGGGTTCCATGGGAGAGCAGCCCCCACCCTGGCTGTGGCCTTTAGATTCAGGACAGCAGCGCCCAGGGCAGTGGGGACAAAAGCAGCAGGAAGTGGGGCTCCTCACAACAAAGCAGCCAGCAGGGGCACACCAGGAGGGACACAGGCCCAGAAGGAGAACATATTCCCTGGGCACCTGCCCACTGGTCCTGCTGCAAGAGAAAGCACGGTGCAGAATCCAAGGCTCCCAACTCGCCTCTTTTTCTTAATCAAGCTCTGGAATCTGGGATCTCAGAACGCCGCTCATTCCAGCTCTGAACTTCTCTGAAAACCCTCCTGGTTCCAGTGCCGATTCCCCTCCCAGGCTATGGGCAGTGAGGTGGCATGGGGTGAGGGACTGTGGACACAGAAAGGAGGGACAAATGCCACAGAGCTGGGAGGCCTGTCATCCCACGGCCCCAGGTGAGCCACAGGACAATGTCAGGGGAGGCCCTTGCTGTGGGCAAGCAAGGCTGAAATATGGGCTCAGGCCCCGAAAGCCTCCTCCCCACTGGCTCCTCCTCTTGGTAATGACTTCCTTGGCCTCTAGCTAGCCCCAGAGTCTGTTCTGATGAGGAAGGTGCCCAGTGCTGACTGGAGCTTCAGGGCAGGTCAGAAGGGGCACATGCCCAGAAGGAGTCCATATTGGACTTCTTCATGGATGGTTGGATGGTTGGAAGCTCTGGAGACAGTGCAGAGCCCTCCCTGGAAGACAGGATGGCTGCCAGGGAGAATCACTGTCCTCCAGGTGGACATGTCCACGGGACAGACTAAGTGGAGGGCAGCACATGGCTGGAGTGCACCCCCAGAAAGGCCAGGCTGACTCAGAGGGGGCATCCACTCTTTGTCGTCCATGATGCAGGTCTATGGCTTCGCTCCAGGCATGGAGGCTGGGCAGGAGCACCTGTAGGTGCAGCATATGAGGCTGGATGCAGGAGCAGAGTGGAGACAGCCAGGTGCAAGCACATGCCCTGGGCACCTGGTCATGGCAGGAGGCCCTTCCCAGCCTCCCAAGTGCCTCACCCAGCTCTTTTTATGACCCAGGCACAGGGAGCTTTATCTGCTGTTCTGAACAAGGGCCATTCTTCCCCAAACCTGACCTCCGAGTATCCAGCAGTCCCAGGAAGGCCAGAGAGCAGGGTCTCACCTCTGAGGTCTCACTTTCTCTCTCTCACTTCTCACTCAAGCCCTTTGATCATCTTGTGTAAACAGCTTCTATTAACAGTTTATGACATGCATATATTCACATATTTCCATAAAACACGGACATGTATATTATCTATCACTTCTACACAGCTACCTTGCATTGGGGTGTTTTTTTTTTTTTGTCTGTTTTTTTGTGGTTCAAGGTCTATTGTACAATGTTCAATGTGTGAAATTTCTTCTGACTCAAGTGTCTTTAATTGTCATATAAACCAGTCTTATACCTTTTCTACTGTGCAAGTTCACTGGGTTGAGACTTCCTCCTGCTTCGCACATTCCTGGATCCATGGTACCTGCTAAGCTGACATCTAGCTGGTGCTTGGTGATTTTCATTGGTGAATGATTGTTTGTATTATTCCTGATCAAAAAACAGCAATTACTACTGCTATTTAACTTTTAAAACATGGAACATGACATGGGATGTTGTGTGATAAGAGATCAGCTTTATAGGATGTTTTTCTTGGTCTTAGCCTCTTCTTCCTTTAATAGTTTTTCATCTCTCTGAAAGAAGTATAAAATACAAACATGGTTTCTTGACTCCCGGGAGCTGATTGACAGGCTTTCCCTGGAGGTTTGAGTGTTGGAAGCAGTGTGGAAAGTGGAGAGTGGATGATGTGGAGAGTCAGGCTCCTTAAAAGCAGACAAGAGATGCTCAGGAAAACAAGCATTATCCACTCGGGCCCAAGAGCAGGCAGAGTCCAGGCCACACAGGGCCAAATGGGAAGGACAACACAGGGCAGGTGATGGATTAGGTCAGGTAGTCGAATGACCCTGGAGGCTTTGGGTTGCACCGTGGTCCCAGGTTCTTGGCCCTGGGATGATCAGGCAGGGCAGCGTGGCCTTGGGGGT